GAAACCTAACTGGAATTATAGCCAAAAAAACCTTAAGATGTAAACATGACAGATTACACCTTTAAAACGTAGGCATCACTTCATTAAGACTTTGCTAAAGATATTTAGCACAATGTATTAGAAATTGGCTTTCAAAGCTACTTCTATTAGTATATAATTGTTTCATTATTGATTTTTTTTTTTTTTTTTTTTTTTTAAATTTTTTTTTTTTTTTAATCAATTCTTCTGCTGATATAAACCTCTGTGCCAACATTTCCTCGTGTTGCTCACTAAGATGCGGCCTTTAAAAGATGAAGGCGCTGCCCTGTCCTGCCATGCTCTGTTCTGCCTCTCTCTGTGAGAATGTGACCCTATGCTGATTAATCTGTTTTTAACTATGTTTGGCCCCCTGCCAAAGCCACAGGCCCACGTTCTCTCCCTCTGTTTTTTATTCTATCGTTTCTTTCAGAGCTGGACACTTGCTGGGGAAGGCAGTTTGCCCTCTCTGATTTAAAATGTTACCCCTCAATACAAGGATTTTCTGGTCTCCTCTAATAGATTCTCTCTATTAACACAAAATATTCATGTTCAAACTATTGTATTTGACTCCTTTAAGCATATACACAATTTAAAAAAAAAAAAGCGTGAATTCTTACTGATGAATACTACAATAACCATTTTTCACCACTCTTTTCTCATTTACATTTTTTGGCATTTAGCTGACTCCCTCCATCACACATGTCCTTAACATCTCTATCCCTCTTTCACTCTCCTCCCCTCTTTCCCCCACTGTCTCTGTGGCAGTAATAAGCTGAGCATTGCACTACAGTTTCCATTCATCCATGCCTCTCTGATCTTCTCTGTGGGTATCCGAACCCTGCGGTGCCCGCCGGCCAAGCTGCCCTGAAAGCTAGAGGCTATTACTCCCCGGTCACGGCTCACTGCTACACTGTAGAATATGTCCACCTTAGTAATTGTTGTGACAGTCCCAATGTCGCTACAATAGAGGAGATGAAAGCCTTGAATTGTGCTTTGTGGTTATAGTAGCAACCACCTTTACAGACTGGAACAGAGCAGACAAAATGTCTTGAACTACATTTGTGACTTTGTGCTTTGGAGGATTGAATTTTTTTCTGTACATGCTACTTTTCTAAAAACATAGTCACCTCAAACTGATGTGAGACAGTCGGACTATCTGTGTGTGGTTGAGCTGATGTGACGTGTTTTGCTCCTGTTGATCGCACGGGGTCAGGATGAAAATACACACACACACACACACACACACACACATAGGGATGTTCCCATAGCCTTTCCGAATGGTTAAGCAATATCTCTCACTCTCTCTGTCGCTCTCACTCAGTCTCTCTTTCACTCTTACTCACTTCCTCTCCATTTGTTTCTGCCTTCCCTCCCTTTCTCCTTTGGTCACTCCATCACCCACTTTCTCCACTTTCCCATTTTCTTATTTTTTGCCTCCCTGTGTCTCCCCAACTCACCCTTCAACCCCTCACATGGTGAGGGTGAGAAAAAAGAACAAATGAGGAAGTGTGTGAGTGTGTATGTGTCTTTGTAGTGATTTCCTTAAACTAATGCAGGAGTGACAACATACCAGACACTGTTTGCAAGTGATAAAATATTAAGAAATCTTACTGCCTCCCTTAGACAAAGAGCCAAATTAGTCCTCCTATCACAGTAAGATGGTTACAAAAAAGAAATTCTTGATCAACAATGCACCTGTTTTACCCCTATTACTGTCATCTTCTTTTGGTTGTTTCTCCCCATTTTATGCTGCTTCCTTTTAATTTTAATTTACAGTGCTCTGATACCCAAGTTTAAGATACAGTTTAGACTGGTGACTACTGAAAACAAATTAAAAAGCATAATTTCATAAGATTCACAAATCCCAAATGACTGGAAATGACAACGGCAATATAGAGAAGAAAAACCAAATCATGCTCTCATTCTAGCTAAGCCAGAGTTAGTTCCAGCTACCTTTAATGAGCAGATTCTCCCACCAGAACAACCAATTAAGGCTTCTCATTAGTGGGTTGACAGAGCCGCTACTGTTCTACACATCCTGGGAGTCTGAGAATGAACATGGCGCTGATGATTATAGATAAACTATACACACAGAGAGGGGCCTGACAGGAAGAACACACCAGAGTGACACAGAGTACGTGCTCACTGCCGACTTCCATCTTTCCAAACCAAGAACCCTTTCTGCTAAAAAAAATTATATTGAGCCAAAGATGTTCCAATGCATATTGTATTCTATGTGGCTATATATATATATATATATATATATATGTATGTGTGTGTGTGTGCCCGTCATAAAAGCTGTAACCTATAGTGAAGTGGATTTTCTTGTAGTGCACCTACATGTGATGCTGTACCAAGTAACCTGAAAACCTGTAACACAATACAATAAAATACAATAGCCTGCAGAAGAGAATGCCTTTGTGAGGTGTATAATGTTCAATTGCTGATGAGACCGTGTAAGGAGAAGTGTGAAATCAACTCTAGCAATTGTTGGGTGCACAATCGGTGCTGTTGTTGTATTGATTTTTTATTTTAACTATTTATTATCTTACTTTGGCCTCCTCTTGTCTTAGATTGTACTGGTATTTATGTTACCCTGCCTATTTTTGTTCACTTTAAAGCAAGATTCAAGCTCTTTATTTTTCAGCAGTTTCTTACTCTGTACTTTTGTCTCCATGGTCAAACTGAACAATGACGAAATGTTTGATTGTGGAAATGTAGTTTAGGTTGGGAGGACTGGCATTAATGTAGCTCGCTGGCTGGGCGGCTGGCTAGATCATGATTCTTTTATATAATTTGCTCACTTCCACGGGGTTTCCACCTCGGCTCTTGAAGAGGTTTAGGTCATAGCATCACCAGTGGGATTAGCTTTATGCACAAAGTTCACAATCCAATCCTTTATAACCAACATTACAATGGAAAGCAACTATCATGACAAAAAGATTGTAGTAGTATATGTGGGATGTTAAGCATGCTCTGGTATTTTAGAAGTTATTCAGGAAGAAATCTGACTCTGTTATTGCTTTGTAAATTACATATGATCATTCACAAAACAAACACTCGATGCAACTGTTACAATGACAGAAAACGTATTGTCTAGTTCTCACACAGTTCTCTAGTTCTCTGTACACCACCACTGTCCATGACTTTGTCTCTGCCCTCATGTCCTCCATTTCTACCTAACCTACCTTCCCTTTCCTCAGAGGAGAAAAGACAAGAAGGCCAAAGGCACCAAAGGTGAGTTGTGCTGATTAAGGTGATGAGTAGCTGGCCACACAGACACGTAGTTATAGGTAGATTTAAGGGTGATTGTTAGTAGCATAAGTGCATGGCTAGGTGCCCTTATATTAGTCTGTCTGTGTCTGTGTCAGGCTCAGTCACACACCAAACACGGAATTGCAAAAGACGCCTATCATATCATCGATAGTTATTGATAAAACCAGGTGATTCCTCTAAAAGAGCCAGATATAACATAAACTGCTTGAAGATTATCCGACTGTGGCACCACACAGATATTGATTTAATGCATTGGAATTAAATTAGTAATGTAATCAATATGTTTGCCAACTGCCACTGACTTTTTACACGTCAGCACAATCTCAGCTCAGTCCAGTCTGTTAGTTTGTTGGCCTGCCTTCCTATCTGTCTGAGAACTACTAGAGCCCTTGCCTTCTGTCAAAGTAAGACTTCAGTGAGTTTTCTGGGAAACACACATGTGAAGTACTGTTTGCACATCATGTCAGCAGACAAATAGTAGCAAGAGTATGATGAAAAAGTAAGATATTTTAACAGAAATGGGGGCGCAGTCGAGGGGAAACCATCAAAATGAAACAAAATTTACTTCTGAGTTTAAAATCCATTTTTAAACTTTGAAATCAATCCTTTACTGCAGAAATGTGCCATGGTCATATCAAAGTAAGTAAAGTTGCTTTTAAAGTAAAAAGAGGTCAAATATTTTATGATTACAGCCTGAAAATTGATTGAAGAAATTGCTTCCTGTTATCTGCTTCATATCTTTATGAATTGAAGACCATCTTTTCTGGATGGTCATTTCCTATCCCATGTTTTATTTTACCACCACATCACCAGACGAAACCCACCCTTTAAAATCAGCAAACAAACGTTAAACTAAGGCGGCTGCATTTCCCAAACATCTTTGTAAACCACTTTCCAACATGAAACCATATGAAGCGAGTATCACTCCTCTGAAAACAGGAAAACAACGTGTTCTCTGGGTTTGTTACTGCTGTCCGAAGCTCTGCCCCGGACACAAAAGTAACATCGCTACACAACAACAGATAAAACTGCACAAAATTAAATGTTGTCGGTGTTCCAAACAGCTCGAGGCTTTCTAGCTACTTCTTATTTACTTCAGCAGCTACATGAATTGCCCTGCAAAAACGGAGGCGGATGTTTGAATAGTGTGTTTTAAACGTAACGACTACGTTAGCATGGTCATAAGAACCAACCGCCAGCGGTAAACTCACCGTCAACGTAACGGTAGGATTCACCTACACCAGGAAATACAACCACTACCAGTAACGTAGCGGGGTCTATTCATTTAGAAAATGACTTTTAAAACACGTGAGTTACGCCTGCTTTACCTTTAGCTAACTGTTGCCACGAAACATTTGATGCTAACCACACGAATCACAGCCGAGCTAGAAGCAGCGGGACATGAAAGTAGTTAAGGTGATGGTAAGAGGGATAATGTGGGAGAAGATAGGCGCCATGAAGCGCCTTACATCGAAGGTATGATTGCAACCCAGAGTAACGGATTTCAGAGGGAAGCATGGGGTTTGCTTGACTGTTTCAAAAGAACTGCTCCTAATCATTGTGGTTGTTAGTACAGGTTGAGCACCTATATATCTACTGCAGCAAAATCGATGTATATCAAACGCAAAATCCCAAAAGCGTTGAACCAGCGGCAGTCGCTGGTGTATAAATCACGTGATTTAAAAGGGGGTAAAATTAAACGTTACCTGTTGCGATTTCCAACGATGCGTACCGGGAACTTCTCCAAACGTGGCCTCTCGCTCTGTTCTCCTCCAAAAAATAACGTACGCCCCACTATCTCAGCCTCCAAAAATCTCCACTACAGTCCACTCCACACCGACAATCTGGCCAGGGCTCAGAGCAGACTTGTCCGTCATCCCCAAGACCCGCCCCATACAGTGAAAAACATCTTTTGGCTGCTTTTCATTGGCTCAGTGGGATTACTGTATTAGATATTGAGATGTGATTGGCCCCCCTCGCTGTCCATTCGCGTTGGAGGGACGTTCGATGCAGATGTGGCAGCGGTAGTGCGGCGAGGTGGCTCCCTCTAGAGTTCGAACAGGGTCACTGCAATATGTTGATGTTGTATTCATTTATTTCTACATTTTTCTGTTCAGATTTTTGCGGACCACTCCTGCAGCCACCATTGGAATAGGAATTTGGGTAAGTTCAAGTTAAGCTTTATAATTTAAAGTTACATGCTCCTTTTCTACTTAGAAGTTGATTCATCACACCTGTTTTTTGTTAGACTTTTTTTGTTGTTTTTTTGCTCTAGCTTTTTTGTTTTTTGCAACCATACTTTAAGTAAGTAATCAATAGACATTTTATATTGTTGTTCGGTAATTGTAGAAAATTACAACTGATGCTTGGAATTCACACCTAAAATCTGTGATGATGATGGACACATTAACCGATTATGTGATTAGATTACTTCTTCCACAATCATTTATTGTTTCTCTTCTCAACCCATTCTTACTCTCACACACAGACATACACACACAAAGGACAGACTGGTCGTTGCATTACATAAGGCATGGCTACTGCCATTGTGGGCACACAAAACCACACACACACACACACACACACACACACACAAAAACATACACGCACACACCTCTTACATGCCCACACCCAGATTACAGAAGCTCAGCTAATTGGCTTATAGTGTGAGGCAGCATGGAGATGTACAAAAGAGGAGGAGTAAACAACCATATAATGGCAACACTAATGTTTAGTAGAGTAGTACAAAAATAATAGAAGAAATTTTAATGAGTGAAATACAAATATTAAAATATTTTGTGACATTAATTGACAACATGCACGACAATCCATCATCACGTTTTGCAGCTTGATGTGGATTCAAAGTCATAAATATAGTAACTACGTGTGTTTCAGTGTACTCACCATAAGCAGAGCAGCATGGATTCAGCAGAGCAGCAGACCACAGCAGGCGAGAGGAGCGTGCACACACAAACACAGACGGATGGAGGGGTATGAGCACAGAAAATCAGACATTGCTTTAACCTCAGGCCTTACTTCACATCACATCAACATGTTTATTTTATGAGCTGCGTCTGCTACAGCAGCATCCCTCAGTTAGATCTAGTTGAAAATCAAGGTGGAGTAATAAGGAATTATAATATCATTTCATCATTTACATCATATACATAAAATTTGAGTTATCTGCTTTTTACTGCTTTTATCATCCATGCACTATGATGCAGATACAGAATTTATCCAGTCTGCTTATCAGTGAAGGGGCACAGCTGATTCCTGTTCAAACCTGACTCCTGAGCATCCAGGACAGTCATGAGAAAAAGACAACACATAGCAGATCTCTTCTCTGGTGTGACAGAAAGCAGTCATGTTTTAATCTAATTCTATTGACATATTATCCACATGTTAGCAGAGTGAAAGGAAACACACCCACGCTGGGACATTTAATCACACAAATAATACATGGCTAAATGCATTAAAGTCACCTCCCTCTGTGCCCGAAGTCCTGTCTCGAAGTCAGCCTGACTGTCATCAGTCTCAGTGTGGATCATAATAACAACAATACAGGGTGTTTAAGAGAGGCTATCACTTCATTAAAGCTGACATAAAAAACATCCTAGGACTATCTGATCACCATTTTTAAAATCAAAAGTCAGAAGAGAGAAAGTTTACATGTGTGATCATGAAAATGTAAAACCTGCTCCATAAATGGCAACTGGCAGGCTGTTTTCATTTTATTTTTTTTTACTTCATTACTGCAGAGTATTGTTACTATCTCTTTGACAGTGAGTGTGCCATGAAAGTTTTGCTTGGTTCTATGATGGATAATTTTTCCATCCATTCACCAGATTGAATGAGATCACTGTTAAAAAGATCACAATGAAGACAAAACTAATGCAAACATAGGGCTCTGCTATTAGTTGCTCCTCCATGATTTTCTAGATCTCTAATAACAAACAAAAGAAGTCAGAAAAATGTACCTGATCATCAAAGGTCCCATATTGCGGAAATAGTCCCACACTGAGATTAAGACAGTCGTAATTCTTGACTCTACATCTAATCAGCCTGACCTGATCTCTCTCTCTCTCTCTCTCTCCTTGCTCTCTCTCTCTTCCCTGCTATGTCTGTCCACCTCCTCGCCTCCTGTTTTGCCTTACTTAAACCACTATGTGCACTATATATTAACTAGCCCACTGAGCAGTTCTCACTTTGCCCCTATGCTGCTGACTGCCTTGGCTCTACAGTGGAGCTGATCAACCAGGCTACCACTGTCCTGCTGTAAACCAACAGACTGTGCTCCTGTCGATAAGCTAACAGGCCTGGCTATCAGAAACACAGTGTCCCACAGCCAAGGAGCTGCAGTAAGCTAGCTTGTCGGTTTCCCATGCAGGCATGAGATCAAGCCAGTACAGATTCTCTGGAGGATTAGCGGCGAGTCCTTCTGAAGGGAATTACCCTGACACAGCCATCTGGACAGCAAAATATTGCCCACCAGACCAACTATCGTCCAGCCAACTCTGTGCCCTGATCTGAAGAACAGTTAGCTATTGCCCAGCCATCCCTCAACCCTGAGCTGAGGAACCAAAATCATTCAACCCTATGAAAACAGTAAATTATGGCCCCAGCAACAGTGTACCTTGATTCAAAGGAAAGCAAACTATCACTTAAACTATCAATTCAGCAGGTACGCAGTAGAAGAATGCTTAAATTAAGTGGCTTAAATTGATTGCAGCTAAAAAGTGATTTCTAGTTGAAATTGGCGACATGTAGCACTCTATCAAAGATTGTGAATAGGTTAAAAGATCATGTTTGGAATATGGACAGAATTTGCAATCAGTCTGAGGGTTATGATACAAGATCTTCAAGGTTGTGGTCTAGTATTCAAATATTATTAGACTTTTTGTTCCATACAGTTAGGATACCAAAATTGATGATGCCTTCTTCCTTTTTTCCTTGCTTTTACAGTGTGTTTGTGCAAGCCACAGTGCCATTTAGCTTGCTCATCATTAAGCTTTGTGCCACCAGTTGAAGTGTTCCATTAAAAGTCAGTCAGACTTCATTAAAGTGCAATTAGACAATGCACGCTCTACATAAACGCTATCACATCCTCACTGCCCATTAGCCACTCCACTTGGTGGAAGCCTGTTGTAATACATTATTGTTTGATAAACCATGTGCATGGAAGAAGGAAGAAATTATTTTAAGATTTATAGTTTAAATCCTAAAAAATATTTTCCAGTATTATATATTCCAGTATTAATGTTGTAAAGGTGTGACAGGTGTGTCTTCTAATACTTTGCAAACAACTGCTAGGCGTATTCCAAAACCCTGTGCAATAAAAAACAACACTGCCAACCTATATTTGAGGACAGCTCTGTGTAATTCACATGACAAAATAAACACATATTACGCAGAAGCAATACCACCAATACCAGAATGCACTACCAATGTATTGGCCTATTACCTAAAATATAGTGTGTTTAAATAGAGCAGAGAAACACCATGCATCTGCAGGAAACACATATCTGGTTAATCGTGTTCAACAGGAATTCACTGAAACCATCATCTCAGACCACAATATGTAATAATTTACATTTGTGGTCAGTAATAGGAATGATAGTCCATTGCTCACTTTCCTGCCAATAAACCTGAAAATCATGTAAAGTAAGTAAATCATCAAAATAGATGATGTTGTTTAAGTATAGGCCTACATATTTTAGATAGATAAACACATGCACAGATGTACACACACCCAGCCAGACCCTGCACGAAAAACATGATAGCACAACATAATGCACACCAATTGCACACACACACACACACACACACATACATATCAAGCTGTATTTTTCAAGCTACTTGCCTGGACAGAGTTTCCTTGTATTTCTCCTCTACTTCTCTCGCTCTCTCTGTCTTCACATGAGTCAAACAAATACCAAGACAATGAACAAACACTTCTCTCTCAGTTCATATCTGTTTGTTTTATGTAATGTCAACCACCAGCCCTCCCGCCCTCTCTCTACACTTCTTTGTGTGTGGTAACTCTAAACTCCAGGATCAGGTGTCAGATAAGGAAAGGAGGAACAGAGAGAAGTTATTAAATAGAAAGAACCTGATGGACGGATAAAAACAAAGATAGGTTGCCAGTCAGAAAGATTAAGAACTCAGAACATTGAGAGAAGATTAGGCAAGAAATGGGTAGAGGGAGGGAGACTCATTAAATTTTAGTTTACTCTGGAACTTGTTCTGCAGTTGTCACTGCACATGTGCGTGTGTGTGTGTGTGTGTGTGTGTGTGTGTGTGTGTGTGTGTGTGTGTGTGGGAATTCATGTCCTCCTAAGTGAAAAAAAAACAAGTTTGTTCGTGTGTGTATGTGTGATAGATGTGTGATGATAGGTCTACAATTAAGAAAGTTCAACCAGATAAATAAACAAAGTTTATGCTTGTTTTGTGTGTGCACGTGTGAGTAGGGCAAACCTCACACCCACTCACACCCACAAATTATGAACAGGCACACAGAATGCCTCTGTGCTGTTATGTACCGACTCTTTAAATGACAAATATTAAGTTGAGGAAGATGTTCCACTTGTCTCTTGCATAAATTCTGCTGAGGTATTTATCATTAAAACTGAAGCTATTAGATGTATGAATCATAAAAAAGCCAAAGAATGCACTCCTCCACTTTCTTACATATTCAGTTGCCACTCCATTTAAGAGTCCACATGATTACCATGTCATCGACAACATGTATTAGAAAACTTTAAATCCACTGTCAGTATCTTAGGTCAGAAAAACCCTAATATACT